GTCTACCTCTGAGGGAAAGCTAAGCATATTCACTATGTGCTTTGATTGCCTTGTTGGACACCACAGCACTCCCAGCTATGGAGACAGAGCTGTCTCTGGGCACACAACGGCCTCTGTCTGTGGTGCTGCAGTTTCTATAGCAGTTTCGGCAGGCTGCCCCCAGCTGATTGAGGAGACCCTCACTATCCGGCTGGGAGTGCAGCTCTTCCAGCTGTACCCCACCTTGCACCGCCACTTCTGGCAGGTGGATAATAGTTCCAACTGGTGGGACCAGCTTGTTATGGAGTGATGGGACGACCAGCAATGGCTCCAGAATTTCTGCATAAAGAAGACTATCTTTCTGGAGCTGTGTGCCTGGCTCGCTCCTGCCCTTACTTGACAGGACACCCATTTGAGACCTGCCATCCCCCTGGAGAAATGGGTCGCTATCTCTATTTGGAAGCTCGCCACGCAGGACAGTTACCAATCTATCGGGAACCAATTTGGCATGGGGAAGTTGACCATTGGTGCCCCCATCATGCAGGTATGGTGCTCTCAGGCTAAAGTCCCTGGAGGGTTGGGGGTAAAGTGCTGGAATGGGGAACTTCAAGGGGGACTTGGAGATGGGGTAGTGTGGGGGGGGAAAGCACCCTTCTCCAGGCAGTTCTCCAGCCCATCCTCATACAGCCCTAGCGGGGGATGGGCTACATAGTGGTTTGCTCCTGGGAGAAGTATGGGGAGGGGAAGGCTCTGGCACCATTGCGATTCGCTGTTTGTCTCCCACAGGTGGTGAGGGTCATTCACCTCAGCGACGTGGACCCCATTGTCACCAGCTTTCTGCCATGGGCTTCCCCAACTGCGGGGGGACTATTGATGATACCCATATCTTCATCTGGGCCCCTGACCACCAGACATCTGTCTACACAAACTGCAAGGGTTACTTCTCAATGGTCCTGCAGGCCCTTGTCAACCACCGCAGCCAGTTCAGCGACATCGTTGGGTGTTCGGCGAAGGCGTACGACATCTGCATGTTCCACAATTCCAGCCTGTTCCAGAAGATGGAGGCTGGCACTTCCTTCCCTGAGCACACCATCAGGGTTGGGGACTTGGACATGCCACTGTGCATCATGGGGAACGTGGCCTAACCTCTCACGCCGTGGCTCACACCAGCCACCTTGACCCCAGCAAGGAACACTTTAATGCCAGGCTCAGCAGTGCCCACATGATAGTGGAGGGTGCCTTCAGGTATCTCAAGGCCTATTTCCGATCCCTCCTCACCCCGCTGGATGTAGGGGAGTGGAACATCTCCCAGGTGGTGGTCGCCTGATGCGTGCTCCACATCCTGCTTGAGAGGAAGGGGGAGGCGTTTCTCCTGTGTGGGGGGGCAGAGGCCAGGTAGGCAGGGCCTTTAAACAGCTGTACACAGCTGCTATCAAGCAGGCCTATCAAGTGGGGGTGTGCATCCAGAAGGCCCTGAAGGAGAGTTTCTCACAAGGACCCCAGTGACACTCTCCCTGGGGCCTCCCCACTAGGAGCCTGTGCCTTGCCCCTCTGCCTTTCTTCCAACACCCCGCACTTCCCCCCTTCATCCCCTCCATTGCAGAGACAATAAAACAAATTCATTGTTTTTGGAAAAAAAAGAACTCTTTGGTTATTTATTTGGGGCAGAAGTAATTGGGGCGGGACCAGGGAAAGAATGTGGGAGAAGGGAGGAGACTAGGGGGGAGAGGGAGGGGATATGAGCAGGGCTTGACAATCTACTCGCCCATGGTGAGTAGATTACAACCTGGAAGAGCCGGGTTCGGGCAATCTGCGCAGATCGCTGGACAACGTGGCTGGCGAGCAGGGCTCGCTGCGGCTCAGCAAGCCCTGGGTATGAGAACTGTGGAGCAGGGAGGTGGGAGCTAGAAGTGGGAAAAGGGGAGAGGATGAGGCTCAGGGTTGGGGCTGGGATTGGTGCCTGGCTTGGATAGTTCAACCGCCTCGTGTGTGGGGACTGTGGGGACCTCGGGGGGAGGGGAGACTAGGGGGAGAAGGAGGGTGAGCTGGAGCAGGGTCAGCCATGGGAAGAGGGGCAGGACCAGGGGCTGCAGCTGGAGCAGGAGCAGCAGCAGAAGCAGGAGCTGGCTCTGGGTGGCTGAGAAGGGACCGCACGGTTGCATACATGGTGTGGCCCTGCTGCAGCAACTCCCTCCAGGTTTCTCTCTGCAACTGCATGTCCTCCCGTAGCCTCTGGTCCATCATCTCATGCAGGGCCCAGAGCACAGAGATGTGCTTCTGCAGCAAATCCTCCTGCGTTCTCCAGCACCTGTGGCTGTCTCGGGTGGTGTCACCAGCCCCCTGAAATAGCTCATTAACCAGTAAGCCAACCATTTACATCCCTAATGAACGGGCATACAGACAGGTTTTGAAACTTATTTTTAAAAGTGACATCAGTTATAGAGCACATAATGGTCTCTGGCGCTAGTAATAGAAAAACAACAAATAGTCCTGTAGCACCTTAGGGACTAATCATGAGCTTTTGTGGGCACAACCCACTCCATCTGAAGAAGTGGGTTGTGCCCACAAAAGCTCATGATTAGTCCCTAAGGTGCTACAGGACTATTTGTTGTTTTTCTATTACTAGCGCCAGAGACCATTATGTGCTCTATAACTGATGTCGTGACTAGAATTGTTTATGTGCTACTAGAAGACTTACCCAGCATTGGCAAAGGCAGGGATGGACCACCCACCGGCTACGTCTAGACTGGCATGAATTTCCGAAAATGCTTTTAATGGAAGACTTTTCCGTTAAAAGCATTTTCGGAAAAGCACGTCTAGATTGGCAGGATGCTTTTCCGCAAAAGCCCTTTTTGCAGAAAAGCGTCCATGGCCAATCTAGATGCGGTTTTCCGCAAAAAAGCCCTGATCGCCATTTTCGCGATCGGGGCTTTTTTGCGTAAAACAGTACTATGCTGTCTACACTGGCCCTTTTGGGCAAAAGTCTTTCGGAAGAAGACTTTTGCCCAAACGGGCGCAGCATAGTTTTTCCGGAAAATCACTGACGATCTTACATGAGATCATCAGTGCTTTTCCAGAAATTCAAACGGCCAGTGTAGACAGCTGGCAAGTTCTTTAGCAAAATCAGATGATTTTGCGGAAAAACTTGCCAGTCTAGACACAGCCACCCTGTCTACTGGCTTCTTCTCAGTGCTGGCTGGAGAGGGAGGAATAAAAGGTGGTGTGTATCAATACCTTAATGGAAAGAAAATATCAAGTACTGTACTAAAGAACTCTATAATCTAACAGTGCAAGACGCAGTTAGAATCAATGGCTGGCAGCTGAAGTGAGACAAATTCATATTAGAAATAAGGAACAATTTTTAGCAGCAGGGGTGATTAACCAATGGAACAAACTACCAAGGCAGGTGATGGATTCTGTCTCTCTTGAGGTCTTCTGATCAAGGATGGATGCCTTTCTGGAAGATATGCTTCAGCCAAACTCAAGTTATATAGCTCCATACAGGGACAACTCAGTGAAATGTGATGATCTGTGATACACAAGAGGTTAGATTAAATTATCTCATGACCCCATCTATCCTTAATATCTATGCACCAATGACCCTCAAAATCCAAAAGCAACTATTCTTTTAATTGATCTAGAGGAAAACTCCATCGCTTTCAGTAATAATAGAAGTTAGCATTTCTATTCTCTTTTTTGAAGCAAGACTCTCTCAAGTAGATAGTCTCTTCAATGTTATCATTCTACTTATATACAGAATGAAACTTCATAAACAGCTTTTCCTGTACATGGTAGTTTTCCTATGTTTATTAGAGAAACACGGTGGGTGAGGTAATATCTTTTATTGGACAAACTTCTGTTGGTGAAAGAGATAAAATTGTTTTATCTACATATCAGATTTAGTTCTGCAAGTCCACAGAGAGTTGGAAGTTCTTAGATAACAAGCACTGCTCCAAATGCTTAATAATCCTTATCTATAGTTTGCTATAAAATTATTTAACACCTAATTGACCATGAGTAGAGTGGTACACTGATAGCAAGGATTCCAACTAGGGACCATGAAAATGGGGGATCTTGTTCAGTGGGATCACTTATTTTCTGATCAGTAGTAGCCCCTTTTTAGTTAGGAGATCAGCTCCATGAGATCTTGAGGATCCTGGTGACAACTGGTCTCTGAGGTATCCTTCCCTTCTGTGGCAAAAACTATCCACTCTACCACTTATACCAATAAAACTCATGTTGCTGGGATGGTGGTGGGGAGAGGAATGAACTGTGAGCAACATAAGTTATACCAGCTTTTTCGATTGACAACTGCTACCACTGCTGCTTGGAGTGATTTAATTATGTCAATAAATAAAAATATATGGAGATATACTTATTTCATAGAACTGGAAGGGACCTTGAAAGGTCATTGAGTCCAGTCTCTGCCTTCACAGCAGGACCAAGTACCATCCCTGACAGATTTACCCCAGATCCCTAAGTGGTCCCCTCAAGGATTGAGCTCACAATCCTGGGTTTAGCAGGCTTATGCTCAAGCCACTGAGCTATCCCTCTCCTCTTCACTAGAAGACCTCTTTTCTGCTGGTATAGAATGGCTACGTGAGCACTCTTATAGCAGTGCAGCTGCATCAGTACAGACGAGCTACAGTAAGTCTCATGTAGACATAGCCCAAGTAACACTACTAGTAGCAGCATTTGCTTAGGTTACATGCGTATACTCATCTCAGAGTGGACTTTTGCGCAGAAAAGAGCTGCATAGTTCATGTGATATTGAATCACTGCCTTCCTCCTTTTGGATTCTCTCATACGAGGGGAAGATTTGAAGGAAACTAAATTCATGGAGTTTCCTCAGCAGGTATTCACCACATGCAAGAGAGCATATTTTGCTATTTAATTTTTAGGGTTTGTATTTAACAGTCTTAGCCTATTCTTGAACCTAAATTGCTGCAAAGAGCCAGATTACTGTCATGTTAACAACAGTTAATTAATGTCCTCTTTTTCCCCTCCCTTTCTTTATTTAGGTTTCATCACACTTTGAATGATTTTGACATAATGACAGCTGAAGATTCCACTGCTAGGATGAGTAACGACTCTTCCAACATGTCTACAACCAAAGTTCCTGAGGGTGTAGCTGGTGCACCCAACGAGGCTGCCCTGTTGGCACTCATGGAGCGTACTGGATATACCATGATTCAAGAGAATGGGCAACGCAAGTACGGCGGACCTCCACCTGGCTGGGAGGGGTTGCACCCGCCTCGTGGCTGCGAAGTCTTTGTTGGTAAAATTCCACGTGATGTGTACGAAGATGAGCTAGTGCCTGTGTTTGAGTCTGTAGGACGTATCTATGAAATGCGCTTGATGATGGACTTTGATGGGAAAAACCGTGGCTATGCTTTTGTTATGTACACACACAAACACGAAGCCAAACGTGCTGTGAGAGAACTGAACAACTATGAAATCCGTCCTGGTAGGCTTCTAGGGGTTTGTTGCAGCGTGGATAACTGTAGGCTGTTCATTGGAGGTATACCCAAGATGAAGAAGAGAGAGGAAATACTAGAAGAGATCTCTAAGGTGACAGAGGGTGTACTAGATGTCATTGTGTATGCAAGTGCAGCAGACAAGATGAAAAATAGAGGCTTTGCCTTTGTGGAGTATGAAAGCCATCGAGCAGCCGCCATGGCAAGGAGAAAGCTGATGCCTGGGAGAATCCAACTGTGGGGCCACCAAATTGCTGTTGACTGGGCAGAACCAGAAATAGATGTTGATGAAGATGTAATGGAGACTGTTAAAATCCTATATGTGAGGAATTTAATGATTGAAACCACAGAGGATACAATTAAAAAAATCTTTGGACAGTTTAACCCTGGCTGCGTAGAACGGGTTAAAAAAATACGTGATTATGCCTTTGTGCACTTTACAAGCAGGGAAGATGCAGTGCAGGCCATGAACAACCTCAATGGCACTGAAATTGAAGGCTCATGCCTGGAAGTTACCTTAGCCAAACCAGTAGACAAGGAGCAGTATACTCGTTATCAGAAAGCAGCTAAAGGAGGAGCAACAACAACAACAGAAGTAACTCAGCAACCCAGCTATGTTTACTCTTGCGATCCGTACACACTAGCATATTATGGGTATCCATACAATGCTCTGATCGGTCCCAACCGAGATTACTTTGTGAAAGGTTAGTGAGCACATCTGAACATGATCTAGTTAGCGAGCATTATTGCTAGCTTTGCTTTAAAGGATGGAGAGGGGACCATGAAGTCATCTTAAATAGATTATACCTGACACATTTTAAATTTTTTCTTAACGTACCTTTGCAACACAGTTCATCCTAATTATACTCATCTTACTTTAATGTATTAATACTAATATATTGAGGACATTTTTCTATAGACAATCCCTTTCTAATATATACACAGATGTAAAGTAAGTGAGTGTGTGTACCTGAGCTTTATTTATCAGAACACAGGACTTTGAAAACTTTATCCATAAACTCTCTGCCTCAGTTACAGAATCTGTAAAAAACTGATCATACTTGTAAACTCCTTTTTGAAAAGCTTGGAGATCTGTGGATGAAAGATGCTATAAAAGTTAGACATAGTTCTCTTATATGGAATTGAATTTAGTTATCAAATTTGGCATATTAAAAATTAACCTAAAAATTAATCATCCAGCAAAAATTAAACTCCAACAATTATAACTGACATTTGTAATTACAAGTGATATTGTTCTGTCATTACAAATTGGATGTCTGAATAACCAACGAACCAACTTGCCTTAAAGATACAGCTATATCACCGGACCAAAAGTACCATAGTGGCATTTGTGAAAGTGCTTATATAAATTTAGGCAATACTTTTGGAAAATTTAGTATAAAATTTTTTAACAAACTCCAGAAAATACCAAAAGTCTGAACTGTATTAGTAAAATCTAGTCATGCAAGGAATAGTACTACAAACAGCAGAACGTGCATTGTCTGATTATGCAGTTCTTGACCCAAGCAAGATTCCCTTTGCTTTCAAGAACGTAGTCATTCAAATTAAGATACTCTGACTTCAGCAACCATATTACTATACAAATGCCCATGTGTGGGGTGTTAAGCTTTCCCCCATTCTGTTACTGTATGTTATTCATTCTCATTTTTGTTATGTTGTTATTATAAGCAGGCAGCATAAGAGGCAGAGGGCGAGGTGCAGCTGGCAACAGAGCCCCTGGTCCCAGAGGCTCTTATCTGGGGGGATATTCTGCAGGCCGTGGAATATATAGCAGATACCACGAAGGGAAAGGAAAACAGCAAGAAAAAGGATTTGAGCTTGTATCCAATTTGGAGTTGTCTGCTGTCAATCCAGTTGCCATTAAACCCGGTGCAGGTTAGTATAATGGACAAACCTGTTGGGAGGTGGCTGGGGAAAATAAAGAGGCTGTTCTTTGAACCGGGCTTGAACTTTTTAGATGCAGATTGGTTTGGGTAAATTAACAGCCTCACTCAACCAGCTGTGACCAGGCAGATTCTTCCTGCTAAGTTTGGCCAACCATTCTATTCAAATCTGGCACTCACCATCCTCTCTAGAAATGTGAGGGTTGAAATGCATTCTCCAGCACCACTCGCTGAAGGTTACTAGCTATAATCACTTGTGTGGGCTCCACAGGCCAAGGGAACAAGATATTCCCAAACCTAGTTATCCTCCTGCAACCTTCAATTTAGGATTATGGTAGAGCAGGAAGGAGGTGACTATTCTATTCAAATCTGGCACTCACCATCCTCTCTAGAAATGTGAGGGTTGAAATGCATTCTCCAGCACCACTCGCTGAAGGTTACTAGCTATAATCACTTGTGTGGGCTCCACAGGCCAAGGGAACAAGATATTCCCAAACCTAGTTATCCTCCTGCAACCTTCAATTTAGGATTATGGTAGAGCAGGAAGGAGGTGACTTGATCACAGTGTTCAAGTAATTTCTGGCTGGCAGATAGCCCCTTATGTGCTGTTACTAGCCAGCAATCTTTTGCCTTGAGGCTATTCTAAGTTACTCTGGGACAAGTGGAGAATGAGCCTGAGGACCAGCAACTAGTTCCTTTCCAGAACCCCCTTAGCAAAAGCCTGTTTGCAATTAAGAATCTAGCCCTTTGTGTTTACTGGAGAATATGATAGTGGCTAGAATAAAGTTGTTAAGGTCTCTAAACCATATTTGAATAGACTTCTGTTTGGAATAAATAGTATGAAGTAGAATCTACTTCAGGTGATTAGGGTAAGCCACTGAAAAAAAGTGATCATGCCCTCTCTCTACAGTGTAATCATAATTGTAACAGACATACTACTAATAAAACACCACTGATGTTTCAGTAAAGATGCACTTGATTGTAATTGTAACATTATAAAATACTCTAATAACAATCAATTACAAATAAGTGGAAATCACTTTTAAGATAAGCACTTATCTTAAATACAATTTTAAAAAATCAACACTCCTAAAGGAAGATCTCAACATGCCATCTTAATAGTTTAATGATGTAGTTTGAGAAAAGAGCTTAGTTTCTGCATGACAAAAGGTAGATGATTTTCAAAAACAAAGTGTGTTTTCAAAGAAAAAAAATGAGCTAATTTAACCTATATCCTCAGACTGCTTGGCCAAGATGTCAGTTCTCAGTGAGAGAGCATTCCCACTCTGAATACATCTTAGGAGTTTCAGGTATTTCTAGAAACTATTTGAAAGGTGATTTTGACATACACACTGTATTCTTACCTGGTACATATGTATTTATAGTATCTGTCTAATTTATTAGCACTCCAAAGATAGGCCAGAGGCAGAATCTTGAGTTTATGTATTTTCAAATTAGATCCAAACCTGCCAATAGTACCAGTTCCAGATCCTGTTCTGAATTGGAAAGGGCTTATATCTGATCCCTGTTCACATGTGGCCAAAATCTTATAAAAAAGAGGGGTTCTTGTGAGTTCTTTTAGTCAAAATGATGGAAAACAGAACTGCTGAGCTCTCAAGATTTCTGCCAATTTAGATTCTTGCAAGATTTCAACACCACCGAAACTAAACCTGATCTATTGCTTAAAGCTAATTCAGATCCCAACTCAAACATCACCTCCACAGGTATCTATAAGCTCATTCTTGAAAGATTAATCAATCAAAAGCTGACTGTACATTTTAAAAAACACATGTGATTGCTGGAGATTTTCAGCTGGACAAGTTTGTTTTCTAAGCAACGC